GAGTTAGTCAAACGTTACAAGTTCGAACCTTGAGTTAAACATAGTATGTTGTTTGCTGATCACAATCATATAGACAATAGGAAATGTTCATAAGTTAAAATGGTGCTTCCAAAACATTCCTCAGGTCATATTTGGCTTATTAATAGTAAAGGTTCTCTACCCTTAACCAGAGTTTTCAAGTTTGAGCTTTAGAAATGAAAGTACTCCTTGGTAACTTTCTATGGTCAGACCAGAGAGATTTAGACAGTTGATGGTTTTAAAAAAACACAGGTGTACAGGATTGTTAGTATTTCTTCTACTACATCTACTTCTATTTCAAAGTAAAAACCAAAAAAATGGTCTATACCTGTAAAAATACACTTGCACATTTGCTTAATCGTTCCTGTATCATTGCATTTATTAACACAATCGGAGGCACAGAAGGTCACATGTCACTGTTTGGTAACTTTTATAAAGTCTGAGTACTAGTTTCACCTTCCCATTCTGTAGAAAGAGTGGATATCCAAGCAGCTTATGTTGGTTTTCATGTCTCAAAATCGAGCTTTACCTAGTTTTTCTGTTGCTTGGCGCGTTCAACAGATTCTTGAATCTGTTGGTCATGAGCTCTAAGTATTCTATCCACATCGATTGGTTTTGATGCAGATGGAAGTGGACCAAAATATTTGTTGTCTTTCAATATGTCATGATCTTTTAGGACCCGTGCCTCTTGCTCTCTTGGTAAGCCCTGCATATTGGTCCATTTTTCAGGTAAAAGAGTAGATATTTGGTCATTACTTGATGTTGATGGACCTAAAGAACGGCTCGTCTTTCCCTTAGAGTCATGGTCATTCCCTTTAGCTGTTGATCCCTTCTCAAGACTCGCAAGCGTAGCAGTTTTGAAGATCATCATGTCATCATGCTCTCTGAGTAGATCATACATTTTATCTGATGGATCAGATATTGGACCTAACCGTTTCTTCTTTCCCTTGATATCATGAATTGGTTCTTTCCTTATTGCTCTCTGATTGTTCCTTTGATGAGGAGTAGCAGACTTCTGAGTGCAACTCTTTGAGCCCTCTTTTCTTCTGGCCTCCTGAAAAGATGCAGAAGAGTTTGTTCCTTCATTTAGAACACCTCCTGAGACATATTCATTTGTTTTTTCAAGCCTATTCCAGGCTTTTGAATGGGTAATGAGTTGTCTTCTGCCTATGTTACTCTGTAATTCTGCATTAGCTTCAGCTGCTGGAATTGCCCTTACACTTCTATTGCGTGCATAACTCCGGTCCCTACTCCCCTTGGTTTTCTATCTTTTTTGCATTGATCTCTTTGCTGGGGGGGGGGGGGGGGATTGTGGCAAACTTGAGGTATCACAAGCAAATGGTTCTGTTGTGAAAAACTCAGTCTGAAGAGCAAGAGCTGCAGTCCCTCGATATTCAGCTTTTATGGAAAGTAAAGTGTCCATTAGTCCGTGAAGAATCCATCTATAAGGCTCTATCGGCTTAAATATATTTGCATTAGGCAATTTAGATAGTAGCCAAAAATCATCAGATGGAGAACCACAGAGCTTGAAGATTTTATGCAATTGATCAACTTCAGTTTTACCAGGCATAATTGGCTTGCCAGTAAATAGTTCACCAAGTACACAACTAACACCCCATAAATCAACTCCAACTCCATAACTATTTGATCCAAGCAAAAGTTCTGGTGGTCGATACCATAGAGTCACAATATGGCTAGTCAAGGGAATGCTTTGTTCTGGATCAAAAAATGTCGACAACCCAAAATCTGCAATTTTTAGGATACCATCTTTGTTAACTAACAGGTTAGAAGTTGTTATATCTCGATGCAAGATACCACGGCTATGGCAGTGATCAAGCCCTTTAAGCAGCTGGTGCATGTAACATTTGATCTCAGGTTCAGAAAACTTGACACTTTTGTGTTTTAGAATTCCTTTGAGATCATATTCTATGCAATAAAAAACAAGGTACAAACTGCTGGACAATCTTGAGGTGGCTAAACCTTCCAATTTGATAACGTTCGGGTGTTCACCAAGCCTTCTCAATATGATGATCTCTCTCGCCATAAACTTGACACTCTTGGGATCAAGATTGTCCAAACTAACCTTCTTCAGAGCAACAACCTTATTGAGTAAACAATCGTGAGCCTTGTAGACATTACTATAAGTTTCCTGGTCAATCTTACCTATCTTCACGAAAGCATCAGGTGGTCTTGGAAGCCATCAAATTAAAGCTTTACTAGCTACTGCAACAAGCCAATTAGGCCATCCAGTAGAAACTAGTTCACCTTCTATGCGTTTTGGTACTCCTCTGCTGAGTCTTGGATTCGGTTTCCGTCTCCTGGTGTGAAGGATTTCTTCCTTCTCTTCTGCCATAAATGTCTCAACTACATCTGAGGATATCTTGCCTTAAACTGATTGATCCCTGATAGTTAAAGATTTTCCTTGACTGGAACCCATAGTTTTCCGATGATAACCAATTTAAGTCTTGTTTTACATTCAGACAACAACACAAACTAATTCTTCTTTCCTAAAGCTTTGTTTACATACCAAGAAAACAAACATTCATAGAAAGAAGTATGAGAACTCAAATGACAAATCAAGGTAGTTGACTTCATAAAAGCAATAATAGTAGGCTGAGTTGTAAACAAAGACTTGGTCCTTTACATGGTATAGTCAACAAAGATTTATGAGAAGTGTCCAGCAGTTCCTTAGAAATCATCAATTTACAAATACATATATAGTAAGAAGAACTTACATGCATCTAATGAGAAAGGCAGCAGGTTTTACATTGTGCCTCACCAGGAAGAGTAAGAAAAAGCTGAGTTTTTTTGGTAGCTGAGCTTTTTTTGGTATAGGAACTTCTTTGATGTGCTAATTTATGATTGACAGTATTTGGAATGACAGAGGACATTTTTCAAAAAGTATATTCTTTAAAAATAATTTCCAATATAAGTTGGTAAGTAGAAACATTATTAAAGATTTATAATAATGATATCGAATTGTGTTTTCAATTTTTTGTTCAGTTTCTTGAATCTGCCATTACTTAGAAGCCACCTGCATTGTGTATCTTCAATCTGCTTAGCTCGAGCCTCGTCAAGCTTTTCCTGAAAGAACATTAGGATAAGCAGACAGAACATGACATGCTGTAAATGATCAACTCATGACTTGACTGAAGCATGAAAAAGCTGTTGAATAAGGACAGTGTCACGACCCAAGTCCATGACACATTGTCCTCTTTGGGCCTAGACCCACACGAATTTGTCTTTCAGGCCCCGTCGTGTACCATGTGAACTTGAACTATGCCTTATAAAACTCTTTACTTTCTTCTCCCATTTTGTTGTGATATTCGCCTAATTAAGGTGTCATGTGCACCTCATCTTCTAAAGCTTGCCTGCCTAGAAGCCTAAGAGCTCAAGAACGGGATCTTGAGTAGGATTTGACATGATAGGTTGGAGGATTTTAGAGGTTAGGTTTCGACGAAGGAGTCACCATAGGGGGGAAATCAGATGGTGATCTGATGAGTACTTTTGATGGTGTGCACTTCCCTCGGAAGATCAGGTAAAACAGCACCTTGATGGACTAATGTTTGGTAGGCTAATGAGTGGATAACAACAAATATCGAAGGATGAAAAGATCCGGTTCTTAATAGGTTGATGAGAGGACAATACTTATTCTTGAGGTCCCTGAGGATGAGTTGTATATCAACTTTAAACCATAGTAAGCTCCGCATCGCCGTAAAAGGAAAGGGTTCTGTTGGGAGTTTCTTGTTCTTCTGGTTGGATTTCGGAAACAATAAATTGGAGATGGATTTCAGGAAGAATGAGCTGCCGAGAGTGATGATGATGATGATGAGCCATCATTCCATTATTTTACATTTGTGTAGAAATGCTTACTGCATCTACAAGTTGACAACTTTTCTTTAGTATAGTTTTCATATTTGTTGACTCAGTATGCCATTGTTTATTGTAAGCTCTGAAAGTTTCAAAATATCAACTATCTTAAGTCCATGAATATATGTTTAGATCAATATAAAGCCAATGGCATTAAAAGGGCTTGCACCTAGTTTTAGTTTTTACTAAAGTGAGTTCCTGCACTTGTCAACCAAAACTTCTCAAACTTGAATGTACCTTAATTTTCCATATGTTTGCTTCATTCTTTCTATATCAATTGCATCAAGTTAAAGAATCAATCCAAGGCACAGAAGGTCAGATCAAAGATGTTACTAATTGGCAACTTTTGTGAAGTCTGAGTACTTGTTGCAGCATGGTAGTGCAGGATGCTGCTTTCACCTTTACATTCTGGAAACAAAGTTAGTCGTAGTGTTTTTACGGTGACAGCAAGAAATAAGCTATAAAAGGCAGTTGCTGATGAATTTGGCAACTTTTGTAAAGTCTGAGTACTTGATGATCGGATGAAAATCAACCAAGTAACGTTTGTGGTGGACACAGAAAACCGCAAAAAGTTGTACCACAAGTTGTGCTTTCCATGTTGAGAAGTTGAGGTTACCTTGTAGTTTAATAGGTAATTGAGAAACATGATTAAATTGTACCACATGAGTGGTGGTAGAAACTGCAGAACCGCTTGCAACAGTAGCTTCAATAACTGGAGCCATAGGTGAGAAAGATTAAGAAGAATGAAATGGATCTTACGTGGAGCTTATCGGAACTCTGATACCATATAAAGATTCAGAGAAGGAGATGATTCTATTAAATCTGGCAGCAAGCTTGTAAATACATAATATACAATTAACTGGACCTAAAGTGTAGGCCACTATCTGCACAATCTACAATTACTAACTGAAGTTAATGGCTAACTATTCATAAATATGCTCCAAACCTCAGGAGACTTATTCAACCTATAACAACTAGTAACAAGAGATAAATAAAGATAGTTAATAGTTTCACCTTTCCATTCTAGAAATAGACTATATATTGATCCAGAATAGACCTTTTTTTCTGTAAAAAGAGTGAATATCCAAGCAGCTTATATTGGTTTTCATATCTCAAAACTGAGCTTTACCTAGTTTTTTCTGTTGCTTGGCACGTTCTACAGATTCTTGGATCTGTCGGTCATGCTCTCTAAGTATTCGATCCACATCAATTGGTTTTGATGTAGATGAAAGTGGACCACAATAATGGTTGTCTTCCAGGAAGTTAAGGCCATCTGATTCTGCAGGAGGCAACAATTGTTCAATAAGTTGGTTCTTCTCTAGCTTGGAGTTATTTCCTTCCCCTTCTGCCTTTTTTTCCGTGTCAAACATAGTCCAGTGCTTTCTTGGTAATCCCTGCATATTGGTTGATGGACCTACAGAATGACTCTTCTTTCCATTTGAGTCATGGACATTCACTTTAGCTATTAATCCCTTCTCTAGCCTCCCACATGTAACAGCTTTGAGGATCATGTCATTACACTCTCTGAGTAAATCCTGCATTTTGTCTGATTCATCAGGTGATGGACCTGTGTCCACTTCTTCTTTCCCTTTATGTCATGGTAATGAATTGGTTCTTTCCATATTACTCTCTGATTATCACTTTGATGGGTAGTAGCAGACCTCTGAGTATAAGAATCTGTTGCTTCATTTAGAACACCTCCTGAGACTTTTTCATTTGTTTTTTCAAGCCTATTCCTGAGTCGTCTTCTGTCTACTGATCGCTGTAATCCTGCATTAAATTCCCTAATCATCTTGGTTTCTTTAGCATCCATCTCATTTCTGGGAGGGCATCGTGGCAAACTTAAAGGATCACAAGCAAATGGTTCTGATGTGAAGAACTCACCCTGAAGAGCAAGAGCTGCAGTTCCTCGATATTCAGGTTCTATGGAAAGTAAAGTGTCCATCAGTCCTACAGCAGCAGCAGGAAGATCATGAAAGGTTGCTTGAATTTGTCGTCTATAAGGCATTTGCGGCTTTAAAATTGATGCATTAGGTAAGTCAGATTTTAGCCAACATTCATCAGATGGAGAACCACAAAGCTTGAAGATATAATACAATTGCTCAAATTCAGTTTTACCAGGCATAATAGGCTTGCCAGTAAATAGTTCACCAAGTACACAACCAACACCCCATAAATCAACTCCAACTCCATAATGATTTAATCCAAGCAAAAGCTCTGGTGGCCGATACCAGAGAGTCCCAATAATGTTAGTTAAGGGAATGCTTTGTTCTGGATCAAAAAATGTTGACAGCCCAAAATCTGCAATTTTCAAGATACCATCTTTATTAACTAACAGGTTAGAAGTCTTTACATCTCGATGCAAGATACCACGGCTATGGCAGTGATCAAGCCCTTTAAGCAGCTGGTTCATGTAACATTTGATCTCAGGTTCAGATAACTTGACACCTTTCTGTTCTTGAATTCCCTTGAGATCATATTCCATGCAATCAAAAACAAGGCTGCACGCCATTTTAGAGGGGACTACACCTTCCAGCTTGATAACATTCGGGTGATCACCGAGCCTTCGCAATAAGACAATCTCTCTCGCCATAAACTTGAAGCTGCCGGGATCAAGATTGTCAGCACAAACCTTTTTCAAGACAACAATCTTATTGAGCAAACAATCGCGAGCTTTGTAGACATTACTGTAACTTCCTTGGCCAATCTTATGTATCTTCTCGAAAGTATCAGGTGTTCTTGGAAGCCATCCAATTAAAGCTTCACTAGCTACATCAACAAGCCATTTAGGCCATCCAGCAGCAACTAGTTCACTTTCTAAGCCTTTTGGTACTCCTCTGCTGAGTCTTGGATTCAGTCTTTTTCTCATGGTACTACTGTTTTCTTCCTTCTGGTCTGTCATTCATTGAAATTGTCTCAGCTTTTTACTAGATATTCCTTAAGCATGATGTGTATAAGATTTGTCAAGAATGTGGGGGAAAAAAACAGATACAACAATAACAGTTACTACGAGCTACGCCTCAATCTCAAAACAAGTTAAGGTGAACTATATGAATCCTTATAATACATATGATAAAATTAAACAACTACTACACCTTAGTCCTTAACAAGTCGGGATCGGCTATATAACTGCCCATTTTTTCATCTAAAGCTCATATCATATCAACGCATAAATATTTGATTTGTGCATGTCATACTATATGTTAAATGTTTTCTGTATCTTCTGAAAATAAAAAGACAGATGTTGGTTCACCTTCAATGCCTTTTGCTACTTCTCTGTTGAGTCCTGATTTGGTGATGAGGCTTGCTTTAACTGATTCATCTCTGTTACTTGAAAATTTTCCATGACTGGAACCCATAGTTTTCCAATCTAATTAAGTCTTCTTTTACATTAAGTTAACAACACACAAAGTATTCTTTCCTACTACTAATGAGAAAACCAATCCAAGGGAGTTGACTTCATAAAACCAATTATAATGGTAGCTTGAGTTGTCCTATCATTTTCCTATAAATAATCAATTTGCAAATACATACTTGTTACTCCTTTCCCTCTGTCCCAAAATAAGTGTCATTTTGACAACAATATTTTTTTAATCTCAATATAAGTGTCACCGTAGAAATTCAAAACAAAAATTAGTAAGTATTAAGAAGTTCAACATAATATTAGTTTGGCATAATACATGTAAACCTGCGCTTTAACTTGGCCTCAGTTAGCATCTATGTAACAGAGTACGTACCACTATTGTAAATATGGATGAGTTATCTTCAGTTAATTTAGGCTTTAAGTTTGTAAAGTTTATTATTCAACTAGGGTAGGTCAGGTAAGTTTATCGGTTCCTATTTTCTAGAAGTTAGGTTTGCACAATTTGTTTTGTTGGCGTTGTATAATATAAAACTTCTATTGGAGACTCATTAATAAACAAACAATTCCATTCTACTTCTGTGCAACTATACCATGTCGTTCAACTTTGAATATCACAAGTAGATGAACACATCCTACATGACAATTCACGTGAGATATACTTGGATTGATTTGAATCATGCCACGTAGGTTTATGTCATATCATAGAATTTTGAAAGTTAATCAATATTTTTTAATTTAAGTTGTTAATTATTATGATTTATAGTACTTTTAATGTAAGTTGCAAATAAATAAATTATTAAAAATGTTTTTACTCCTTCTATTTCAATTTATGTAGCACAAATTAAATAAAATTTGTAGAGTCAATCAAAATTTTCTTTTAACGTAATTTTCTTAATATGTCACAGGCCCAATATATGTTACTTCATTCATCCAATTTATGTGACGGAGATAGAAATTCAAGGATCAATAGAATATTTTTTTTTGTAACCATACTTTTTTCATTATTATAAGTTGTTAATTATTGCGATTTATAATATTCTAAATGCAATTTGCAAATATATAAACTATTGGAAATGTCTTCACTCTGTGGTACAAATGAAACTTGGAGAGTCAATCAAATTTTTATTTAACCGTAATTTTTTTATATAATTTCTTACAAAATTAAGCTATTACTTGTTGTGATTTATAATACGTTTTACATAATATAAATTATTGAAAATTCCTTTTATTTAATCTAATACTTAAATGATAAAAATACCCTTAAGTACAATTCTATTTCCACAAAGCACACATATTGACAAAGACATGTGTACTTGTAGAGTCTTCTACTATTGTACAATACAATACGTTCAATTTATAAATTTCTACATATCATGGTGACTTCAATACCCACATAATGTTACTTGATTATAGATAAACATGAAGGCCTCAACGGTCACACATAATTTAATTTCTATTCTATATGAATATCAAAATTAGCCGAATTTATTAGATGTTATGTTGATATGAGCCTTGTCGACTCATAACTTATTTTTCGAGTCAAGATATATATATATATATATTTTTTTTATTATTATTATTATTTTTTTATTTTTTTTATTTGATGTCCGAAGTTCACATTAAATCTTCGATTAAATTTGAATTACGCTCTGCAGGGCCCATTTGTAGTTTATCTAGCAAGGGTCCACTCGGGTCTAACCCACAAAAAGTCACGAGTTCCTTCAAAATGCCTTTTCTTTTTCATCAGCGTTCAGTACCGAAAACCCTTTGTTGCTTCTCTTCCCCCAATTCAATTTTCTGCAAAAAAAATTGGGTGAAGAGTGATATGGAAAGGGTAACAGAGAAAGAGATTGGTAGTAGTAGTAGTACTAGTAGTAGTAGTAATAGGAAACAAATCCCAGATTCAGTGATGGAAGCAGTGAACAGAACCTCAAAAAACATTGACGATTTGAGTAGTAATGTAGACGAATTTCTCTCTCTTTATGGTGCTGGTGTTTTTCCCGATTTGGGTCCTCTTCAACAAGCTCAATCTTTGATTTTGCTAGCTAAAGCTACAACAACACTCTTTGCATGTAATTTTTTTACTCTTTTTTCTTGTGAATTTTGAGATGTTGATTTGTTTGTAAGAGTAAATATTGTTTTTTTTATTGGTTACAGTGAGGCTTAGGTGTAAAGGGATCAACCCAGATGACCGCCCTGTCAAATTAGAGTTTGTATGTGTTCTTCCTGGAGATTCTGCTTTTGCTATTCTATGGTGTTCTATTTTTTATAATTTTTGTTCCTCGGGTAATAGTAACCCTTTTGGTTGTGAGAGCTTAATTGGTTGATTTGGTGTAAGTTTTAAATTTATTGTCTAATTTTCATCTTTTGTGGTTCTTTTAATTGATATAGGAACGTTTGAGCTTGTTCCAAGAGAAACTGCAGGAATTGATGGCCTTGAATAAAGGTAAGTTTGAATCTTTCTATAAATTTCTCAGTGGTAGTGGAATAGATAAAGAAGTTGTGCCAGGAAGGCTATAAAGTAAATGATTTGCTAGACGTATAACTAGAGTGTACACTTTTATACTATTGTTTCTGATCAGTAAAAAGAGAAGAGTATCATGCTTGCCTCCCATAACATGATGAAGAACGGGTGCTGGAGTAGATATTGAAATGATTTCTGTTTGTTCAGCATATTATAGTTATTGTTCAGAAAGCTTGATTTGTTTCCATATGACATAACAAGGACAAATGTTGAATACTGACTATTCTCAATTTGTCCTATAAGCGCCATTGCGACCATCAGCAAGGATAAATCCGCAAGGTGCCGCTCGATTTATCGAGCATTCGTTGCCTGATCTTACACCTGGTAACTGCTAAACTACTTTCTAAATGTGTGCAAGTTCCATTGTGTTTGGTTTGTCTTAATACAAGTCTGTCTTGCAGATCAGAGAAAAAGCATGAGAGAAATCAGTAAAGGTGACGGGCCTAGGATTAAGTATCTGGAAAGAGTTGTTCATAAGAAGAGGAAGTATCCCGAGCAGCAATCTGTTCGAAATGCTACCCAGGAGTTTCTTGAGAAAGCTGCCCGTGAGCTTCTTGGTGAAAACCAGAGTGGTTTTAAGGGACCTTTACAACTGCCGGAGGGTGATGGTGAAGACGTACCTATGAGCTGATTTTCTGGTAGATTTTTAACTCATTTCTTCCAGTTTATATATGCTCTCTCTACTTTATGGTCTTGGTAGTTGCGGTGTTGGCATTTATTTATCTTCTCAAAACATTTTCGTGATTTTCCTAATTCCAAGTGCATGTGTATATGATGTTATGTGGGTATGGAATAAAGTTACTCAAATCTACCTCTTCTTTTGTTGAATTTGTGGCTGAGATATCGAAGATTTTTTTTTTATTTCGTACGTAGAATTTAAAAAAAATATATTTCCAACATCAGTTGAACATATTAGTGACTCCATTGTTTTTCTCCATGGGAGAATTCATGACGTCTTCCATACATTGCCGTAGGAACTATCTGATGCAGCTTCATATGGACCAAGTTTAACACGCTGTTCTAATGATGGAGATACTGAGGACATTCTTTTTTTTTTTTTGAAACATCAAGAGATACTAAGAACATACATATAATTGAACTTTATTAGTAGGCTTCCTTTTTTTTTCTATGAAAGAATTGAACAACACGTGTTTAAGAGCAAAGCATGTGCAGCACATGTTCTGAAAAAACTGCTTTTATGTATTGGCCTTTTGGACCATGTCAAGAAGATGTATGCTGAATAGGTACATTTCTTGAATTGCACAACTTTCTTGCTCTAGTGCAAATGCTATGTATTGTCTTCCTTTCAGTTTATTTGGCTTAGTTTGCTCACCTTCTCTTTCGTAGAAAGGATTTAGACTCAGATTTAAAGTGTGATCAGGACTTTAGATTATGCACTAATTTTCATGTAAGTTGAAAGAAATAGTTGTTTCTCAAGGATAATAGATTCTTGGAGATGTTGGGGATCCTCTTTTTCTTTTTTTTTTTGAAACTTGTAAGATTGTATTCTTCAGCATTAAGGGCATGCTGGTCACCACCAAAAAGTGTCAGTTACAAGCTTCCTATCAAATCTACAATCTGGTCCCCTCAACTAACCTCAAAGTGAATCAAGTCCATTCTCAAAAAGAAATGCAGAGTGCAGTTGGTTGATGAACGTATAAAAATTCTTTTACTCATCCAAAGTGAAAAACATAAATGATTTTTGGAGGTTATTATATAATTCTCAGCAAATGTTATGGCCAAAGAGATCCATTTTGTGACGTGATCTGCTTTTCATCAAGGAATCGAAAGGTTTTTTTAGGAACGTGTCAAAAGGTTATGGTGAAAATGGGACATTGTAAAAAAAAGGACTTGTATGATATATCAAAGTGGCTCTAATCTAGATATTGAGGGTGCAACCTCTATTGTCTTTTCTTAGTCACATTCATCTTAATAGGTCAGAAATGCAATCCTCATGGGGATCATGCCACTTACTGTCTTCCACTAAGTTTGGTTTTAAATCTAGATCCTTGTAATAAAAAAAATTTCCTTCCCAAAGATACTGAAGACCAACGGTCAAAAAGAAAATGAGAAAGGAAAAGAGGGGTTAGGAATAGAAAGGTAGGATCAAGCAATCAAAGATAAGTCACTAAAAGGGCAGCTCCATGCACCACGTTTGCGCCATAGACCGTGTTGCGAAAGGGCCGGATCTACATGGGAGGGTGAGGGTGCCACGGCACCCGGTCACTTGGCTAAATTTTTCGTATACACATAGGTTTTTTTAATTAGTAATGATATATATAAAGGTTGGCACCCACAGCACTGTAGTAGTCGCTGGTAAGGCTGGGCACCGGACCGGAACGGGACGGTTTGACCAGGTTGTTGATCGGTACCAGGATGAACCGGACCGGAACTACCGGGATGGAGGCTCAGTTCCGTCCCGTCCCACTATATACCGGGATAGAATCGGGACGGAACGGGATGGGATAAACGGGACGGCACATATAGCTATTTCAAAAAATAATTATTTTTTTTGAGTTATTTTGAATTACGAAAATACGAATGTTTTTTTTATTTTTCTAAGTTATATTAGTTTATAGTATTTAAGTTTTAAAATTTATAATAAATTTTTTTTTGATAAAGGTAACATTTGTATATCAATCATCAGCTCAAAGTTGGTATCCAAAATTTACATCATATCGTCCCTCCACACATGTGTGTCGGGCATAAACAAAAGATAAAGAAAAGAAAAGAAGAAAAAAGAGAAGCTATCCCTAGATCCTCCTTTCATCTTTATAAGGACCCTAGAATGTCTACAATAGCCACAGGGTCATCTATATACTCTGAACTACACCAATAGCAAAAAGTGATAATGCAGTTCATTTTAATCTTGTGCAGAGGGCTGCTCTTGTTATCAAAATTCCTAGAATTCCTTTCTTTCCATATGGTCCACCAAATAACAGCTGGGACAATTTTCCATCTACTCTTGTCTGTGCTGCCACTGCCCTCCATATTCCAACTTTCTAGAGCCTGTCCTGTTCTCCCTGGAACAGTCCAACTTATACCTCTGAAGCTAGTAAACAATTTCCACAGCTGGCCAGCCACTTTACAATGTAAGAACAGATGATTAATTGTCTCTGCAACCTGCTCACAAAAACAGCATCTTGGGCACATTTGTATTCCCCTCTTCATAAGATTCTCTTGTGTAAGTACAGCCTCTTTCACCACCAACCAAGTAAAAACTACCACTTTATATGGTATTTTAACCTTCCATATAAGCTTCCAAGGCAGAAAGTTAACTTGGGATCCCATCTGATTCATAATTCTATATGCAGAACTAACAGTGAATAAACCTTTATTATGACATTTCCATTTAAGAGTGTCTTCTCCATCCTTGAATCGTAAGAACTGATCAAGTGTTCCATAAAATTCAGCCAATCTTTCCACCTCCCAGTCTTGCATCAGTCTTCTGTAGGTAAGGTTCCATCCATGTTCAGACCAAACTTCATAAAGAGTCGACTCTTGTTGTTGGTTCAGGTGATGAATATCCGGGAACAAGCGTTTGAGGCTTCCATTCCCTAACCAGTTATCTTCCCAAAACCTGATCTTCCTCCCATTGTTCACATTACATTCAGTTTTTGCATAGAAACCATGCCATAAGTTTCTAATTGATCTCCACAAACTGGTTCCATATGTGGATGTCACTTCCTTAGTCTTCCAGGGTCCTTCCTTCCCATATTTGGCCTGGATCACCCTACCCCACAAAGATTGATCTTCTAAAGGAAATCTCCACAACCACTTCATGAGAAGACTTTTGTTCTGCTTTCTAATATTTTTGATTGCCAGTCCTCCTTGCTTCTTGGATAGTAGCAGTGTCTTCCATTCGACTAGGTGGAAACCTTTATATTCCTTCTCACCGTGCCACAAAAAATTCCTTCTCAGAGCATCAATTCTTTCTTCCACCTTTGCTGGAAGGGGAAAAACTGACATTAAGTAAGTTGGTAATGCATCCAGGACTGAGTTAATCAGCACTAATCTACCACCTCTTGATAAATATTGAGACTTCCACCTAGACAATCTTTTCTCACATCTTTCCACTACTCCATTCCATATCTCTTTGGATTTGCTATTGGCACCCAAAGGCATACCCAAGAATGTTGCTGGTAATTGCCCTATTTCTCCACCCAAAAGATCCCCCAGATTTTGTATTCTGGGCACATCATTGATTGGAAAGATCTGACTCTTTCTCCAATTAATGTGCAACCCTGATACTGACTCAAATAGTATGAGAACTATCCTCAGAATTTTTAGTTGGCTGTCTTCTGCATCACAAAAAATCAAAGTGTCATCTGCATATTGCAGATGGGTGATTTCCAATCTAGTATTCATCTCTTTGACCACATTAAAACCCCTTATCCAATCATTCCTATGTGTTGTTTTAATCATACTGTTCAGGCCTTCCATGACTAGTAAAAATAAGAAAGGTGAGAGTGGATCACCTTGTCTCAAGCCTCTGCTTGCCGGAAAGAAACCTTCAGGAGAACCATTTATTAGTATTGAGAACTTGACAGTGCTAATGCAGAACCTTATCCATCTTATCCACTTCCTCCCAAAACCCATACTATGTAGAATTCCAAGCAAATACTCCCAGTTAACATGGTCATATATGCCTTCTCTATGTCCAGTTTACACATTATGCCTGGGATTTTATCCTTCACTCTTGAGTCAAGACATTCATTTGCAATGAGAACAGCATCAGTGATCTGTCTTCCTTTCAGAAAGGCCATTTGTTGAGTGTCAACCAGCTTTGGCATCACCTTCTTTAGCCTTTCTGTAAGAATTTTGGAGATTAGTTTGTAGACACTATAATAATTTTACTTAAATTTATTTTAAAGATTTTTTTTTTTAATTTTTACGTATATAAATTTGTAAGTTAAGTTTAATAAAGTTTTTTTTTTAAGTTTTTGAGCTTATGTAGTTATGTTATAAGTTTTAAAGATTTGAATCTTTTGAAGTTTATAAGTTATTAAGTTATACTTATAACTTGTAAGTTAAATAACTTAAGTTTGTAATTTTAAAAAATTAAATAAACAAAAAGAAATGCTAATAAAAGTAAATAATGTCAAAAATATTATTTTTTATTTTAATTAAAAATGATTTACCGGGATGGGATCGGACCAGACCGGAACAGAACCGGAATGAACCGGGATGAACTGGTACCGGTATACCGGTACCAAATCATGATACCGTTCCGTTCCGTGTACCGGTTCAATGTATCCCATCCCGTCCCGAATACTACCGGACCGGAACGGTACCGGTGCAACCCGTTCCGGTGCCCTGCCTTAGTCGCTGGTCTGGTGACCATTGGCCTGGGTGCCAGGGGCTATGTCTGAGTTGGAATCCCTGTGAACATTTTTTTAAAAAAATAATTCACAAATCACACACTCTAAAGCAAATAAATATCCGTATTTCTTGTACCTTTTTTTTGTCTTTTCTTCTTTTCCTAGTTCCCTTTTTATATTTTCGTTCTTATTCCAATATATATTTTTTCTTCTTTCTTTTGTTTTTGTTAGAAAAAATCTTTTTCAAAATCTTCAAGTATTTGACTGAATGTGATTTTAATCCTTTTCCTTTTTTATTCCTTCAAAATACATTTTATCTGTTGAATTTTATTCCTTGTTTTTAATCTTTTGTACAAAAGTAACAGAAGCAAAGCCCAATGTATGCTACTTCATTGTTTTTTTCCCACTTCATTAAGAATTTTATTTTTATTTGAAGTAATTTTTTTATTATGTTGTATTGATATTTTGCAAATTTCTTGATGAAAATATTTCTATTTGTTTGTATTGTCAATAGGAGGATAAATATCATGTATACATGCTGCGCTTTGATGTTTGTTTTTCCTATAGAACTTGTCGATAAATGTGTATTACTTATAAATAAAAAATCTTGTAAATCAAAATGAATTAATTCAAAACAGATTGAACTGACTGAATGTCCGTCCTAATTAGATGTTCATCACTAGGGATAAGTTTGTATTAAAGATACAGCCACCCAAATACGAACTTCAGGGGTGCACTTAAAAAAGAAATGAGTGAGAGACTGTTCTTCAAATATAGAAAATCATTCTTTCTCCCTTCAAAAATTTCCTATTTCTCTCTTTTCATACAACCCACATAAGTGTCAATCCTGCCTGATGTCTTCTTTTCCATCTTCTAAAGGCCCACTTCTCTTAAAGGTTCAAGTGAAAAAATACCTCTTTGAGAATGAGTGGCATAGCTCATTGTATTCTGAACCATCTCCAGAGTTAGGTGCTGACAATGTAGAGGGTGATGATTATTGATTTCACCAGAATTCTTAACATAAAACTTCAATTGACTTCTGTGATAATCCTCAAATTTTTCAGCTGCCAAAAGTCGTTTCCCTAACTGCCAGCCATGTGTAATAGGCACACTGTCTCTTTCTCCTGGGAATTGAAATTTGGAGGTATGTAAATCCAACTCCACGTTAACCCAAGAGTTTTTTGTAGTAGGATCTATTACTCCCCAACACCTGCATTTACACATCCTGATTGCTATGTGAAGTGTTTTGTATTATGAAGCAAGACAACTAGATGTTAGAATTCCGTGATTTCCCAATCTTGCAAACACACGTAACAAGATAAGTAATGACAGGGTCTTTAATTTATAGTACATAGCACCCTTACGATCTATAATCAGTGCAATAATTAAAAGAAATGTCCAATAATACTAACAGAGAAAAACTGGAGTTGGGGCTACAAACAGAGAAAGATGGAGGATGATCCTTGCTTGTATTTGGTGGACTATATGGAGGGAGAGAAACGATAGATGTTTCGAGAATAGGAACAACAACCTGCAAGAAGTAAAGCTTAAGTGTATTTTGTTGTTTTGCTTTTGGTGTACAAATGTCTACTCCCATGAAACTGAGTCAGTCATAGATGTTTTAGGGTCCATTTAGATTTGGTTCAGTTTTTGGATAGATTATACTTCCTTTCTGCTTATTTGTAAATATGGTTTTTCAGTACTACCTAAGTACTATAAGAAATGCAAATGTTACCAGTTTAAAAAAAAAAAAAGTCCAATAATACTAGATCCGCATTTAGAGCGAGCATTAGGTGATCTGAAGATATGAATCGGTACAACTTAGTAAATTTTAGATGATGATTTTTACTGTCCTTTTTTCCTTATGAAGTACCTGTGATTTATCAATGAAACAGCCGGGGGATGCAAAGCAATACAAAAGCTGTTGCAGCTTCTATACCTAATGTAATGAGCAAACAAAATCAAGGAACATTTTACATTATTTACATTGTTCAATTTTGCTTTAACAATAAGGTGAGGCATTTCGTTCCAAGCTTGGAATTGGTGGTGATTCCCCTTCAAAGCGACTCAGGTTTCTTTCCTTCCATAATGTCCTAGAAAATCACCCGCGATAATGACATGCTGTAATCTTTTTATTGATCTGTACCATCAAAACTTCTTTTGCTGTTTGAGCACTACACGAGCACAAAACATGTGCAAAATATCCTTTGTTGTACTGTAGTGAAGAGGGGTGGTAAATTTTTCTGAGATGTAATTGCACAAATAACAACTACTACATAGTACTAGTCTGCTCTTCTCGAGGTTTTCTTGAGTAAGGCAAATCTCCTGCATGACCAACTCGCTAAAACATGCATAGGAAAAGTAAGTGTCCCTGAAATGAGATTAGCATCTAAGGTATGCTATAATAAGAACGTACATGAGACCCGTACACATTAATGATTGGGTTTTAGAGCCACGAGACTGATACCAATTATATCTTATGCAGTGCTTCCTTCTTAGAGTTGAGGGTCTTTTGGAAACCACCTCTCTACCTCAAAGAGGTAGAGGTAAGGTCTGCGTACATTTATTTTACCTTCCCCAGACCCCACTTTGTGGGATTTCACTGGGTATGTTACTGCTGTTGTTGTTGTTGTAGTAGTAGTGCTTCCTTTATCCTTATATGATTGATATTCTTTCCTTTTTTTGTCCATCCAGAAATTGACACCTTTTGATTTTTGAATCTACTTTGTACTTGTGGATCCCAAGGAGCACGAAAACAAGTACTTTGGTAACAAGGCTAATCGTTTGTATGTATGCATATTTTACTTAGATTGTTGTTTCTTTCATGAACCACATGTCTAATCAAACTACCAAATAAATCAGGACAGTGGAGGTAGTACGTGTGGATTTGTTCAGAAATTTGGTTTTAGTTTTGGTGTCAATGTCTCCAGTTACTTCCCGTAAATTTCTTTAGCTCACAGTCAGGTACATGTTTCAGTCTTTTAATTAGTCACCTCATGATTGAGGATTTTACTTTTTGCAGCTTCCTTGGATATATGAAAATTTTGAATTTTTTCATAGGGAAATGGTTTAATTAACGAAAAGGAGGGAATTCCCTTAAAGTAGTGAATACAAAAAGTTAAGAGTTTAAAATTTCCCTCTATATAATCCTCTGTTTGTTTAGAGTAAATCTTGAGTATCAGTTAGTGATATTCTGTCAATTTCAAGTTTCTTGCTGTATTTCTACTCCAATAAGTAACATCGGTACTCATGCTTGGTGATACTGAAGTTCCCTGTGATGCTGAAGGAGACATTTCCCTCTGCTGTTTTTCCCATTTCTGTCCCTTTCAGTTCAAAACGTCTTTAAGATAAAACAAATATAAGATTCATGTGTCTTCTTCATATCTGATTGAGCTTATGGCTGAAATAAGATGAATGAGAAGATTTTATTATTTGTCTTCTGCAATGTTTTGGCTCGTCAAGGGTTATCAAAATATAGTTTTGGGTAGTCAAAAGCTTTCAGAAAATGATAAGAATGCGATAAGATTTTTTTATTTTTTATTTTATAAATAGCAGACATGTAACTTCGGCTGGAGTATATTTTAACCCTTTGAATGACGATCTTCCATTATAGCTGTTCTTAGTTTTTGATGTGTTAACTTCTAGTATCATCTTCTATTTTTGTGATGCTCAATTATCTGATAAGCAATCAGAATTAATTGTTATTTGTGTTTGAGCAGTAAACTGCTCTCCGTAACTCTTTAATAAATTCAGACGTGTAACTTCGGCTGGAGTATATTTTAACCCTTTGAATGACGATCTTTTATTATAGCTGTTCTTAGTTTTTGATGTGTTAACTTCTAGTATCATCTTCCTTTTTTGTGATGCTCAATTATCTTATGATAAGCAATCAGAATTAATTGTTATTTGTGTTTGAGCGGTAAACTGCTCTCCGTAACCCTTTGCAAAGAAAAGGAGCTTATACCTGAAGAGAAAAAAATGTGTGATCCTCTTTGGCTGTGTCTTGCATTTGGTTAACCATGATATGAATTCTATGGTGCAGAAACTCTCTTTTGCTGATGAAGCCCAGATTTTGTGCTGATGAGCTTTTCAAGCATTTTGTTCGAGTTCCAACCTATGACGAAGATACTCAGATTATACGCAAGCTTTGCAGCAATTGCTACTTTTGCCGCTGATCGTTGATGCAAGTTAAAATTTAATAGAGTTTGCTTTCGGTATTCAGCTATGAATCCAAAGTTACTCCTTTTTCTGTAAGGTTTGTTTATTGCAAGAGAAAGCTGGCAGTTATATGTACAATAGTGCAGCAAAAAACTATCGTTTTGTAGTTTCATTTGTTTTCCATAGATCCTCTGGCAGTAGGAGCAAAAAGCTGGGATCTTTTTATTATTCACTTTCTATGACAAATGGTGAAGACTATTACATGGTTAGTGTAGAAGAAAAGCAAGCATATTTCAGATCCAGCTTTCAATAGGAGTGTTTATGTATTATCGATTTGGTTTATCGGTTTTTAAATATGCTAAACCAATATTTTTTATCGGTTTTGGTCCTTAATGGTTCGATTTTGGTTTAATTATAAAATAAATATATGAGTTATCTAATAAATTTGATGTGACAAGACAATAATGTAACTTTATAAATGTTCATAAAAGAGAAATAATAATAACAAACATGAAAATGAAAAGAAATATACATGTGTAACAGTGAATTTAAGAGGAATATGATTTTTACTTTAGGTTTTGATCATTTGTATAATGTGAAGTCGTATAAATCAATACCGAATCAATAACCCGATAATTTCTTTTTATAAAATCATTAAAAATCCGTTAACTCAATAACAATAAACCAATAACACTTTTTTTGGTTTGGTTTATCGGTTGGTTCGATTTTTGCACACCCCTAGCTTTCAAGGATATTTAGTATCTACAACATTACAACATGTTAGTTGTGTCACATTATAGCTTAATAGACTTGCTTGTGAATTCGAATTCTTGGGAAAAAAGCGTAAATGTACCCTTTGACCATCTAGTTGTTCTAAGTCAATTTTACTTTGAAAGAAAAATATACTATAGGCTAGTTATTTTTTAATTTAAAACATGGATGTTTTATGAATCTGTTTGACAAGATATACATATTTGGAAATAGATACACATATTTATATTTATATTGAAATTGCCTCTTAATCTGTTGCATCCCCTTATAACATTGATGCAAAATTAACTGGCAAGGCAGCCTCATTGCCCTACAGTACGTTTTAAAAGCACATGTTTCATAACTTCAAGCCTATATATAGGCAGACACTTAACAAAATAGTTCCACAAATATTGGGCACATATCAGTCTATAAAACAACTTACTCCATTAATTCATGAATGACTCCGTCTTCAGCACCTTGGTGAAAATATCAGCAACTTGATCTTCACTCCTGCAGTAAATCAGATCAATTGTTCCATTATGGCTAAGATCTCGTAAGAAATAGAACTTCACATCGATGTGTTTGGATGAGTTCTTGGATAGCTTGATTGCTGAATCATTGTCACAAAATATTTTGGTTGCTTGAATTTCAACTCCTCTAGAAGTCTTCTCAACCAAATAGCTTGACAAGCACAAGCAGTTGCAACAACAAACTCGGCTTCTGTAGTAGACACAAGTGCATTTCTGTGGGATTCTCCATGTACCTGCTGATTAAACTCACATAGTACATTATGTCAGGCCTTGTAGCAGTGAGATACATTAAGCTGCCTACGATTTGCTTGTAAAGTGTGCTGTCAATCTTCTTCCCAATATGATCTTTGTGTAGCTTCAAACCAAGTTCAGCAGGATTGTTAACTGGATTGCAATCCATCATCTGAAATTTGTCTAGAATTTCCCCAACATATTTCTTTTGAGAGATAAAAATCCCTTTCATCAGATTGCACTACCTCTATGCCAAGAAAGTAATGCATCAACCCAAGGTCGGACATTTCAAACTCATCCATCATCGACTTCTTAAATTCTTCAAACATGACACCACAATTTCCAATATAAATAAGATCATCAACATACAAGCAAATAATAAGCATCTTTCCCTGATCCCCAATCTTAACAAACAATGTATGTTCATAAGGACATTTCGAAAAACCAACTTTTAGAAAATACCCCTCAATTCGACTATACCAAGCCCGATGAGCTTGTTTTAGACCATAAAGGGCCTTTTTTCAATTTGTAAACCTTAAGCTCTCATATTCAATTTTAACATAACCAGGAGGTTGTTCAACAAATACATGTTCCTCCAAGTACTCACGTAAGAATGCCGACTTGACATCTAGCTGGAAAATAGGCCAAGACTAATGAGCTGCCAATGCAATAACCAGTCTGATTGTATCATGCCTAGCAACGGGAGAAAATACTTTGGTATAATCAATCCCATATTGTTGCTTGTATCCCTTAGCCACTAAACGTGCCTTGTACTTGTCTACTTCGCCATTTTCCTTCAACTTTGTTTTGAACACCCATTTCACTCTAACGGTTTTATGTCCATTTGGAAGGTCGGACAACTCCCAAGTATCATTGCGTTCTATGGCATCAATTTCATCATCCATTGCTTTTCTCCATTTTTGTTCCTTTACAGCACTCTCAAAAGATGTAGGATCACATCTGAAAACAAGGCAAAGTGAGTAATTGGATCTTCAATTCCAGTTACCTTGTAATCTTTCATCCAAGCCGGTCTTCTTCTAACACGTCCGAGAGTTTGAGTTGCTTCTTCATTTTCTACAACAACTGGTGGTGGAGTTGTAAGGGCTGAAACTGATGAATTTTCCAGCACACAGGGTGCTGAAAATTGCTCTTGTTCAACGTCACTGTCACAGAGGATTTGGGTAGGTTGTTGCCTATTTCAATCCCAAGTGTTTTTCTCGTCAAAAGTAACATCCAATCTTTTTGGTTAATGGATTAAACAACTTATATGCTTTGGAAGACTCACTTACACCAAGGAAAACACATTTTTCAGCTTTGTCATCAAGTTTCTTCCTTCTTTCATCCGGGACATGAGCATATGCAATGCATCCAAAGATTCTAAAATGATCTACTGCTGGTTTTCTCCCATTCCATGCCTCCTGCGGTGTCATATTTTTAACAGAAAAAGTTTGAATTCTGTTTAAAATATGAACACTCTAATTTACCGACTCTGGCCAAAATGTCTTTGGAATGCTTCCTATCACTAACAAACTTCTCACCATGTTAAGGATGATTCTATTATTCCTTTTCGATACACCATTCTATTGTGGTGAATACACAGTTGTAAGCTCTCTTCGAATACCATTCTCTACATTGAACACTTCAAATTCAATATTCGCCACCACGTTAGTTCGGAGAGCCTTAATGGTTTTCACTGATTCATTTTCCACACTAACTTAGAAGCTTTTAAATGTTGAAAAAACTTCAAATTTTTCTTTTAAAATATAAACCCAAGTTTTCCTTGAAAAATCATCAGTAAAAGTGACTAATTATTGTTTACCTCCATCGGACGTTGGGTTTATCGGGCCATAAAGATCTGAATGCACCAGCTCCAAAGCATCATTTGCTCTCCATGACTTTCCTTTGGGAAATTGAGAGCGAGGTTGTTTATCAACAACACATTCTGGAAGAAGCATCGATTTGAGGAAGACCAGTGACCATGTTTTTCTGTTGGAGTGTCTTCAACCCTCCAAAACTCAAGTTACCATAACGAAAAGGCCACATCCATGCGGAATCATTTACTTCAGCCATCAAACAAGATTGAATACTATCAATCTTTAGCGGAAATAATCTGTTGGAGCTCATTTGAACTATTGCAATAGCTCCTCTCACAGGATCATAACCTTTTTCATAGTGATTCCATAACCCTTCTCTTGCAGCTGACCAACACTAAGTAAATTAGTTTTCAAATCTGGGACATATAACACAACAGAGATTGTTCCAGAAAACCATTCTTGGTTTTAATCCTGATATCACCTTTCCCCATCACTTCTACAGTTGAACAACCACCAAATGCCACAGTAGAATGGAAATCTTCATTTATAGATGAAAAAGAAAATTTGCTTCCACACATATGGTTACTGCACTCGGAGTCTACATACCAAATGTCATGCTCGTATTTTTTTCCATCATGGACAACCAATAACAAAGTTTATACTTCCTTATTTCAACAAAATTGGCTCTTTCTTATTTTCTTTGTCTTTAGGTAGTCTAGTATAACAATCTGATGCATATTGACCAAATTTATGACATCTGTAGCACTCTACCTCGGATTTGCCATGGTCTCTAACTCTGCTTTGAGATTGATCAGTATTGGATTTGAAATCTCCTCTTCCTCTTCCTTGACCTCTACCTCTACCTCTTCCTCTATAGTTGCTGGAACAAGTATTAGTAGAAGCCTTCAATGCTTGCTCCTGGACTCCAGAACTTTTGTTCATGTTTTGTTCAGGAACTAGTAAAGAACTTTGCAACTCATCAAGAGATAGTTCATCTATATCTTTTGACTCTTCAAATGAGCAGACAACATAATTATATTTTGATGTCAGTGAGCGCAAAATCTTCTCCACATTGCCTACATCATGTATCTCTCACCGTGGAAACGTATCTTGTTGGTTATTTCCATTGTTCTAGCACAATATGGTGACAGATTCTCCTTCCTTCATCTCTAGTGTTTCAAAATCCTTTCTCAAAGCTTGAAGTTGTGCACGCTTAACTCTGGTAGAACCTTGATACTTCTTCTTCATGGAATCCCAAATATCCTTAGAAGTTTCTTTGCAAAGAATAGTTTCCAAGATGGAATGATCAATTGCCTGAAAGAGATAGTTCTTCGCTTTCAGGTCTTTATGCTTTCAAGCTTCTGGTTCCTCTTTTTGAGCATCTGTCGCAGTTGTACCCGTTGGCTGGTGAATTTCAGATTCTATTACTTGCCAATACTCCTTAGATCACATGAAATTTTCCATTAACACGCTCCAATGATGATAGTGGCCATCAAAGCGTGGAATAGCTGCTTGTACAAAACTTTCATTAGCCATTAGGTAATATGAAGAAATATGTGACTGCCTCACTTGTTATCTCTCTCACGATAACGTGGCTTTGTTACCACTATAATGCTCTTAAAAAGTGAAAAATAAGTACTTAAAAGAGGAAAACAATTGCTGGAAAACTACTTACTTTCATTCATAACTTAAAGCCTATATATAGGCAGACGCTTAACAAAATAGTTCCATGATAATGCTCAACTACACTTCATCTAATTCTAAGTGTAGGTGGTCGCTAACAAGTATAAATCCAACTAAGAGTTGGGTCGATCCCACAGAGAGTGATACAATAAAAAATCGATCAAGAAAACAAATTGTGTTGTAATCGTTTGTAGAAGTAGAAGTTTCGTAAAACTAAAGTAAATCACAAAGTTTGAATGGGGGAATTTGGGTAACCAATTTACGACTAATAAAAACGAAAGTAAGCA